ACAGAAATGAAAAGGACACTAATGCAAAACAAACAAACAAACACTGCCCCGTCTGGAGCCGAGTCATGGGAAGGGGAACGGGGAGAAGAGGGGGGTCAGGTTTTTAAGTTTGGAACCGATGTCCAAAGCTGTAAACAGTCAGAAAGCCTTGCAACGGCTGGCAAAAACAGAGGGGGAGGGGGAGGGGGTCACCATCATGGTACAACCCCCCCACCCCCCCTCCTCCCCAAGCATGGCAAGCACATAACCGTGGTGACGCTGGGCGGGAAAAGGTGGACCCAGCCAGCAGATTCAGCTACAGGAAATACTGACGAGGCGGTCCGGTCCGGCTCCCGGGTCAGTCACTCTCGTCCGGGTTCTGGGGGTCTATGATTTTGACGTGGGTGAAGGGGAAGAGGCCCCGGCGTCCGTTCACCTCCCCCTCCCACTGACCGCTGATGTTCATCCGCGTGACTTTGACCATGTCGCCAACCTGAGGGCAGAAGGACAGGAGGCAGGGTTACAGGAGGGGCGTGGCTTTTTCAAGGAACGTAAAAAAAGTAGAACATTGTAAAACGCAGTGTGGTCAAAACTAATAAAGGGGATTGTTTTGTTAATTTAGAATTTTAAAAAAAAGTTTGGCCCTGTTTGGTGAGGTGACCATGATGTGAACACAACTCAACCAGCCCTGGTTATCACTGTTTAAATTCTGTAACGTTTAAACTCCCTAAATTATCCTGACGACACAAGTCACTTGAACATTTTGGGTAAATTAGAACGCAAATAACTACTCACAGATGAACATGTTGCACTACCTAATTTGCTACGACATGATTAATGAAGATATAAAGCGTCGTTGCTGATAATGACAAAAAATGACAAAAGTTCAACGGATTAATTTAGATGTCAAGCTGGTGATCAGCTGCTGCATCAGAAGCACGACAGAAGAGACGGGTAAAACGTAGCAGAGTTAATAGCTGAAGGAGCAAACTAAATGCATTCGACACACGGCCCTCATTTTAAAAACCTCCAAACTTCACAATATCCAGTCCAACCGATTTATTAACACACTTTGTAGATCTCCACGCCGGCGTTACGCTGCGGTTGGAACAGACGATAGAGGAGCACAGAGCTGCCGCTCAGATGGGTTTGTGACACTGACTGTGACCCCAATCTGTTAGAGCCATATGCTCTTCATCAGGATTAGAAAGGGTAAAGTCTTCATCGTGATGAAAACCAGGATGTGACGAGGGGGGGGGGGGGGGGGGG